AAAAACTCCTTAAGGTTTGCAATAGTTTTCGATCATTACAGTCTTGAGAGTATCGTAATGCTTAAACTATATATTATGATAGAAAAAAAAACCGTAATGGGTATTAGGGTATTGTTTTTATCGTAATTTCTTGTTTAAGCATTATGGTACTCTCAAGATCGTAATGCACGAAAACTCCCGAAGGTTTGCAGTAGTTTTCGAGCATTACGGTTTTGAGAGTACTGTAATGCTTGAACTATACATTACAGTATAAAAAAGACCGTAATGACTTTGTGACTTTTTTAAAAATGGAATAACACTTTTACGATTGAACAACACATACATTAAGAGTGAATAACACATACATTGAAAATTGACCACACATATTGAACAACACATATTGACAACACATATATTAATCTTGACCCACCAAGCTATCAAATTTCACATCGAATGGTTGTAAGGAATTGTGACCACCATATATCAAAGGTAAATGGTCTCATTGCACTTGATTCCAATAAGCATATAAGATGCAGAGCAATGCTATAAAACTCATTGAATCAACAGAACACAAATATACAAATATCACAAAATATTGGTATCTCAACTTTTCATAAATATCACACTTTTAACAAAAAAATAGTATAGGTACTTCTGCCCTCTTTACACAGTATAAGCACTACTGGCCTCTTTACACAGTATAAGCACTATTGGCCTCTTTACAATAGAAAAACATAAAATATCATCATGAATGCTTTCATCGTAGTGGCAACTTGTCACCCTATTGTGGCAACTGCAATTGTGTAGTTGAGCTGCTCACTTGCTGTGAGTTGCTCTACTCCTATCTTGCCACGTGAGGATGTAACTGCCACCTAGGCTCCTCTGGTTGAAGCGGTGTGGGGATGAGTTGTGTAGTATTTAGCCTCTCATCTAGTCGATAAGGGAGCCATACTGGTGGTACTATCTTCTATCTCATCATTCAACTCCAATTCCTCATACGCATCCTCATCCCCTACATCTTCTGGGTCGTAAATTTTAAGCGGTTCTAATACTTGCCCAATTAGGTCTCAATTCCTTGAATTGTAACCTTGACTTACAAGTTGGCTGCATGGTTGATGTCCCTAGGATGCATCAAGTCATATGAAAATAGATTATTGAGATTTCTAAAATTAAAGAGTTGTGAATAAAATGGAAACGATTATAAAATATTCTAATCATTATATCTTCATCATTATAACCTCGAGGTGTGTATCTGGAGGGACGTTTCTTAAATAGATTAGGAATTAAAGGCCTAGTCCTTAGCCTATACCACTCGATGAATTCTTGTGTCGGCTTCCCATTGAATATATCTTCAACTGCTTGACACATATAAGGTCATAATCTTTGTCCTCCTCGGTTTCTTGTCATGCATCGGGATAATCATCATATGGGGTCCATATGACCTATAATAGAAAAAGGAAAAATTTATAGTAAATAACATTTTATAGTAAATAACAAAGTCAATTAAAAGTATTTTATACTAATATCATTCATCTGTGCGTTATCGGTCTCATGTCGCCCCACGAGAGAGAAGTTATCATGCCTTTTTTTTTTTGGGAATTGGGCACAACAATTTGAAATGCTCGTATGCCCAATACTGAAATCTATGTATATAAAAAAGTATTACAACGAAATATCTATCAAAACTTTACAAAAAACTATCAAAACATTAACATACTAGGATTACCAATAATAGATTGGCTTATCTACTTAGGTTTAATAATGCTCGAAACAAAAAAGCTAGGGCTGCTGCACCCCATGCATACTGACAAGCTACATCCATAACTTGAAAAAACTATAAATATATGGTAGAAACCATGCCATCTGTGGAATCCACAAAAATTGTGCAACCGACTAGGTATAGGGGGTAGGCACGCGTGTGTCGTAATAGGGTGTTGCGGTTATAGTTCTGTGGCAGATGTTTAAATGTGTTCCTTAACCTTGTCAGCTGAATAATAGAATGGTTAGAACCTGGTGGCACTTGTCTAGCATGAGACCTATAAAATCGTTGTACTTCTCCACTTTTTTAAGAGTTACAGCCACACCAGTCACCCTTAACCGAAGAATTTTCCATGCATCTTCAAGAGTAGGTATCATTTCTCCGATGTCTACATTGAAGTGCCCGGTGTTTGTCTCTACACGCCACCTCTCAATCATAATAGATAATGTGCCACAGTCATGATGAGTCGTATGATATAATCTTGATCTCCTGACCACATAGATTTGATCATTATTTGTTAAAGGCCATTAATAAACTGCATTGGCTTTCTCATCAATTCTGAGAGGTTTTTTTAATCTTGAAATGAAATTTGTGGTTTCAAATATTAAAATAAATAAATTGATTAACTAACATGATAGACAAATAATATAATTTAAAAAATGTGTGCATACTTCTCCTTCCCAGATCTTTTGTGGTATATGTTGTCTCTGTCTATTAAGCAATGTAGGAATCTCAAGACCTCCAGGGCAGGGTGCGCGTTCGTCCACGATCCCTGTTTAAAAATTTATCATCATCCATTTTCAATGAAAACACAACTTGGAAGTATATGGTTAAGTTAGTGTGAAAAGAAAATGAAATAAAACATAGCATGTGAAGGGACCATGGATAAGAATCAGAAAAATGCTTATAGAGAAAGATATGATCACGGATAAGAAGTAGAAAAACATGCACAGATCACTAGAAAAGAATGAGCAGATCATTAGAATACTTAAGATGCACGTATCCTAGAAAATGAAGGAGAAATACAAAAACAACTGTGACAAATGCTTCATGTAGAGAAGAGAAAAATAAAGACTCATAGTACAAGAAAAAAAAATGGAGAGAGAAGATATTACATTTTATCCAATGTAACAATAAAAAATAACGCATAAACCCTATTTACATGAACAAATTTTTAGGGATTGCAATATCAAACCACAAACAAAGCCTTGGTCTATGCAATCAAAGAAAACTACCAATACATGTATACCAGAAAATTGATAATGATCTCGAGGTATTATAGGCTTTTACTTCTTGTAGCAATAGAATGAAAATGATCATCGTCACCCAAATTAAAATCAAGTTCCCAAACCCATAATCCCCGTTGCATAACGATCATCAATAAGATTCAAAACATCCAACCTATGACCAAGTTGATAACCACCATCACAATAATAGGAATCAAATTGAACTGAATCAAAGCCATATCAACCCATATAGAGCGCTCCTTTCAACAATGTCAACACCAAAATCTCATTCCAAAACATGTTAAAAAACAATGAAAAACTTGCCCAACTCAGAGAAAAAAACAAAAAACCCCAATTTACACCGTACTTACCCTAATTTGGTTGAAATACTACAAAGTACTAAAAAAAAAAATTTCGGTAGAATGTTCTTAACAAAATGGTATAAACAGAACCGTAAAGGAGAAAAAGAAACCATAAATGAAAAAGGGTTTCGAGTAGGATTTATAGTGCCTAATTAGTATTACAGTAATTCGAGTACCGTAATACCAAAAGGTTTTCTCAATGTATTTTAAGTACTGTATAACATTCGGTATTCATTATGGTACTTAAAGTACCGTAATTGTTATTTATGGTAATACAACTACCGTGAAGGTTATTTTGGTCACAAAAAGCCCAAAATTGAAGAAAAATGGTATAGACGAGATTTATGAAAGTTTGAGTTTTTTTTCTAAATAGATGAAAATTAAGGTATATTTGCGATAATTTCTCAAAAAAAATGTAGCTTAATTACAAATGTTATTCTTTTGTATATTAATGTGAAAAGTAAAATTAAAAGTTCTTTTTTGTATATTAATGTGAAAAGTAAAATTAAAATTTGTATATTAATCGACGACTCGTATAATAATCCTCATTCTCTAAACATTAAAAAACTGCAATTTTCCTCATTCTCTAAACATTCAAAAACTGCAATTTCATTTCTAGGACAACAAACACTTCAAAAATATTACTCGATCTCCGTCGCATATACATGCCCTCCCCATTGTCTAATTTAATATATGAAGGGTGCGATTTGTACAGAGCCGAAGCTCTAACCAATAAAAGTAAAAGCGCACCTTCAAATAATCACGAGAAGTGTTGTTTCCATACGGGAAATCTTGCCTTAAAATATATTTTCATATATTATCATAAAATTTAAAAGTTCAAAAATAATATAAAAATTTCAAAATTTTGAAAATTGACCATCCAAAAATACATTACAAGTTGTACTTTTTTGAAAACTTGAAATCCATACATCTTTTTTCAAAACTTGAAATCCATTTTGTCTCATGTCCATACATCTTGATGTCAAGATGATCAATTTCAAGATATTTTAATATCAAAACCTCTTCTAGTAAAATTTGAGGCAGGCTCTAGTTTGATTGGTTGAAGCCTTGGCCCCATATAAACTTTGTTCGTCTCTACATATTATCTTATATAAAAAACAAAATTGCAACATTTAATAAACTTAGAAAAAACCTTATAGACTTTGGAAGTAAAGTGCAGTTCCAAAAATCTACACTAAGAAGTTGTTCTAGTGTTAAAACCAACCTTAAGATGTATCAATACAAGAAAAATAAAAGACTTCAAGTTCTAAAATAAAGCATTATCATGTAGATGGTCCATTTTCATTTTAACCTAATTAAAAAAAAGCTAAAATGATAATGATGATTCATAAATGTACCCCATCTACACTATTTTTAGAAATTTTAATTTTATAATAAATATAAAAATAGATTTATAAACCATCATAGGAGTTTCCGACACCAAAACATCTTCTAGCAAACATTATATTATAGGTGCGCCTCCCTTAATTTTTGAAGTTTACACTTGAATCCTTATACAATCCACACCAATTAAACTTTTCTAAACAACTAAAAAGCTTTCTAACTTTTTAGTTCAAACACAACTATAAAAAAATCCTGTGCATGGCCAGGGCTGCTAGCTGGACTACGTGTATGTGAGTACATGAGTGGTAGAGAAAGACGTAGCCTGCATCAGAGAGAGAGAGAGAGATAATTCTGTAAATCTGCTGATCAGTGAATAACATTTTTCTTTTAACACATGACAAAATAGGCATATATACACAACCCAAGACTCCATCTCCTCTTCCCTTGCATTCTTCCCCTCAGTTAAAAAACAAGCAATGGAGCAGTACATCACAAAAGCAGCAGGCAACACTCAAAAACACCACCCCCAGAACCACCCCAAAAAAGAATCAAGCTTCCCCGTGTAAAACAGAGAGACAAAGAAAGAAGAAAAGAATTTTTATAAACCCCAAGGACAAGGTAATTTCGAAATTGCAATCCCTTTGGCAACCTCTCAATCTCTAAATTCAGTTGGTTAACTGCAAAGAGCCATCCTGCAGTAATTTGAGGCTGAGACTCGTGAATCTTTCCCGTGAGTATTGCCTTGATGCCTTTCTCCAATCTGTTCCAGCCTTCATCATTGTTGCAAACTCATCATAGCTTATACGCCCATCCTATGACATCAAGTTCAATAACAATTCAGATCTTTGCCATTTGTTTGGCCACAATGCTTCACTATTACAGGAAACCACTACAGGGACACTGAAAAAGAAAATGAACATTCCATACAAGTGACTAATTTGACGCTCTCTCTCTCTCTTCCTCTCTCTC